CGACCTGCGTGTAGCTCAGCCCACGTCCAGCGCGGCAGTTGCACTGGCCGCGGTCATTCGCGCCGAAGGCCACGGCCGTGCCGTCGCTCCTGAGCAGCACCGTGTGGCTGTATCCCGCGGCGGCCTGCGTGTAGCTCAGGCCACCGTCCAGCGCCGGCACGTTGCACCGGTCGTAGCCATTCGCGCCGAAGGCCACGGCCGTGCCGTCGCTCCTGAGCAACACCGTGTGGATGTATCCCGCGGCGACCTGCGTGTAGCTCAGGCCACCGTCCAGCGCCGGCACGTTGCACTGGCCTTGAGGATTCCCGCCGAAGGCCACGGCCGTGCCGTCGCTCCTGAGCAGCACCGTGTGGCTGTATCCCGCGGCGACCTGCGTGTAGCTCAGGCCACCGTCCAACGCGGGCACGTGGCACTGGTCGTAGCGATTCGCGCCGAAGGCCACGGCCGTGCCGTCGCTCCTGAGCAGCACCGTGTGGCTGCTTCCCGCGGCGACCATCCGTGGGCGCGGTCGGGAGGCCCGCGCGGGCTCCTGGGAGCGCTCGGGGCTCTGCGAAGGGCCACGGCTCGAGCCGGGGCGGCCCACAGGGACCCCGCCCCTGGATGCCTGGAGGCACCTCGCGCGTGCCCGCGCCCCGTGATGCGCAACGTGAGGGGCAACGAGAGTGGGGCCTGGCTCACCAGGGGAGGGGGGACATCGACCTGGACTCGGCGGCACATCGCGGAGAGATCCGCACCAGGCCCCGACAATGGAGCCCCATGTTCCTGGGCTGAGGGGCAACGAGTGGGGGCCTGGCTCACCGGGGGGGGCGACGTCGATCTGGGCTCGGCGACACATCGCGGAGAGATCCGCACTAGGCCCCGACAGCGAAGCCCCACGTTCCTGGGCTGAGGGGTAACGAGGGCGGGGGCCTGGCTCACCGGCAGGGGGATAACATCGACCTGGACTCGGCGACACATCTCGGAGAGATCCGCACTGGGCCCCGATAGCGAAACCCCAGGATCCTGGGCGGCGCGAGCTATCGGGCTCCCGTCGGCGTGCTATGGGCGACCGAGGGTCGATGCATCCCCCCCCCCGGAGCCTATCCCCCGCAAATGTGTCTTCGTCGCCTGGCTCGCGGGTCTCTGGCGGCCGTCGGGAACCATCCGGGCACCCCCGGACGCCTCTCGGCAAGCGCAGCTGCTGGTACGCATCCCGAGGCTGGAAAGTGCCGAGGACCCACGAAAGCATCCCCCCTGGGGCCCGAGACGAAGCACGGCGGCCACCCGATGTCTACAACCCGAAGGCGTCCGCGACGGTCTCGCCCGCCGAGGCCCCGCTCAGGAGCCGTCCGCCTGGCAGGGCCGCGTCGGCGCGGGCGAGCCCGGGGCCCAGCCGGCCCGCGCCCAGCTCGCCCGCCAGCCAGTCGCGCACGCCAGCGAGCGGCGCGCCGGGCGCCGCCCGCACCCGGCAGCGCTCCACCCCGCCCAGGGTCAGGAAGCGCACCTCGCCAGGAAGGGAACGGGCCCTCCCAGCTTTCCGCTGTGACTTTCGCCTCCCCAGGCCCTCCACGGGCCCCAGGGCTGTCAGAAAACGGCTCAGGATGAAAGTCTGGTCTACGGGGGACGGCCCTCGGGACCCGTTCCCTTCATGCCAAGCACCGCGCCGCCGTCGAGCGACGCCTGCAGGAGCAGCGTCGCGCCGACGAGCACGCGCGCGGTGTACGTCAGCGCTCCGTCCAGCGCCGGCACGTGGCACTGGCCAGCGCCATTCGCGCCGAAGGCCACGGCCGTGCCGTCGCTCCTGAGCAACACCGTGTGGCCATTTCCCGCGGCGACCTGCGTGTAGCTCAGGCCACCGTCCAGCGCCGGCACGTTGCACTGTTCGTAGCAATTCCAGCCGCAGGCCACGGCCGTGCCGTCGCTCCTGAGCAGCACCGTGTGGCTGTCTCCCGCGGCGACCTGCGTGTAGCTCAGGCCACCGTCCAGCGCCGGCACGTTGCACTGGCCGTGGTGATTCGCGCCGAAGGCCGGCACGTGGCACTGGCCGGCGCCATTCGCGCCGAAGGCCACGGCCGTGCCGTCGCTCCTGAGCAGCACCGTGTGGCGATATCCCGCGGCGACCTGCGTGTAGCTCAGGCCACCGTCCAGCGCCGGCACGCTGCACTGGCCGCGGTCATTCGCGCCGCAGGCCACGGCCGTGCCGTCGCTCCTGAGCAGCACCGTGTGGAGGTATCCCGCGGCGACCTGCGTGTAGCTCAGGCCACCGTCCAGCGCCGGCACGTTGCACTGGTCGTAGAGATTCGCGCCGAAGGCCACGGCCGTGCCGTCGCTCCTGAGCAGCACCGTGTGGCTGCCTCCCGCGGCGACCATCCGTGGGCGCGGTCGGGAGGCCCGCGAGGGCCCGCCGAAGGGGGCGCGCGCGGGCTCCTGGGAGCGCTCGGGGCTCCGCGAAGGGCCACGTCTCGAGCCGGGGCGGCCCACAGGGCCCCCGCCCCTGGATGCCTGGAGGCACCTCGCGCGTGCCCGCGCCCCGTGATGCCGCCCCGCGTGGGCTCGGCGGCTCATCGCAAGGAGGTCCGCACTGAGGGCCCGATAGCGAACCCCAGGATCCTGGGCCGCGCGAGCTATCGGGCTCCCGTCGCGTGGAATGGGCAACTGAGGGTCGATGCATCCTCCACCCCGGGAGGGCCGCCGTCCGCGCGAAAACGATTCGCGCGAAAACTGCGGCCGTTCGAAAGAAATTCGCTGGGCGCGCGCGCGCGAAAAGGTGCGCGCCGGTTCCCGGCGCTCCCGCGGCTGCCGGGAACCAGGATTTTGCAACGCGGCGGCCGCCGCGGCGGCCGCCGCCTCCTCGGCGCAAGGCGGCGTCGATGCCAGGGGCCCACGGCGGCCCAGAGGAGGGCGGGAACCAGGATTTTGGAGAGATCGAGGCTGGAAAAGCCTCAAATTCCCGGTTCCCGGCTCTGCAGCGCCGGGACCCACGGCGGCCCACGGCGCCCAGAGGAGGGCGGGAACCAGGATTTTGGTTGGAGACCATCGAGGCTGGAAAAGCTCAAATTCCCGGTTCCCGGCTCTGTCTGGCGCCCCAGGGACCCACGGCGGCCCAGAGGATGGCGGGAACCATGATTTTGGAGAGATCGAGGCTGGAAAAGCTCAAATTCCCGGTTCCCGGCTCTGTCTGGCGCCCCAGGGACCCACGGCGGCCCAGAGGATGGCGGGAACCATGATTTTGGAGAGATCGAGGCTGGAAAAGCTCGAAATCCCGGTTCCCGGCTCTGTCTGGCGCCCCAGGGACCCACGGCGGCCCAGAGGATGGCGGAACCAGGATTTTGGAGAGATCGAGGCTGGAAAAGCTCAAATTCCCGGTTCCCGGCTCTGTCTGGCGCCCCAGGGACCCACGGCGGCCCAGAGGATGGCAGGAACATGATTTTGGACAGGGGGGAAAAGGCCAGGCTGGAAAAGCTCAAATTCCCGGCTCTGTCTGGCGCCCCACTCCCACTGGCCCAGAATGGCGGGAACCATGATTTTGGAGAGATCGAGGCTGGAAAAGCCCGAAATCCCGGTTCTCTGTCCGTTGGCCCCGAGGCTGGAAAAGCTCAAATTCCCGGTTCCCGGCTCTGTCTGGCGCCCCAGGGACCCACGGCGGCCCAGAGGATGGCAGGAACCATGATTTTGGACAGATCGAGGCTGGAAAAGGTCAAATTCCCGGTTCCCGGCTCTGTCTGGCGCCCCAGAGACCCACGGCGGCCCAGAAAATGGCGGGAACCATGATTTTGGAGAGATCGAGGCTGGAAAAGCCCGAAATCCCAGTTCCCGGCTCTGTCTGGCGCCCCAGGGACCCATGGCGGCCCAGAAGATGGCGGGAACCATGATTTTGGAGAGATCGAGGCTGGAAAAGCCCGAAATCCCGGTTCCCGGCTCTGTCTGGCGCTCCTGGGACTCACGGCGGCCCAGAGGATGGCGGGAACAATGATTTTGGAGAGATCGAGGCCGGAAAAGCTTAAATTCCCGGTTCCCGGCTCTGTCTGGCGCCCCAGGGACCCACGGCGGCCCAGAGGATGGCGGGCACCAGGTTTTTGGAGAGATCGAGGCTGGAAAAGCCCGAAATCCTGGTTCCCGGCTCTGTGCTCTGTGCTCTCTGCTGCCCTGTGCTCTCTGCTGCTCTGTGCTCCTTGCTGCTCTGTGCTCTCTGCTGCTCTGTGCTCTCTGCTGCTCTGCTGCTCTGTGCTCTCTGCTGCTCTGTGCTCTCTGCTGCTCTGTGCTCTCTGCTGCTCTGTGTTCTCTGCTGCTCTGTGCTCTCTGCTGCTCTCTGCTGCTCTGTCCAAACCCGATTGGATTGGTTTTCGCTCGATTGGTTTTCGCTTGAACGGATTACCTTTTCGCTCGAACGAGCGTCTTTTCGCTTGAACGATCCACCCTCGAAAGGGGGGGTCTGCAACAGGGGGTCTTCAATGAGGCCTGAGTGGCCCACGTATGCTCAATGTATCGGCTCATGTATGTGATCGGGTATGATTGGCATCCAATATTGGCGGCCATGGAGGGCCAGTCGTTCGTGCCCGCGCGCTGCCCGCGCGGGCAAACGCGCCGTCCATCCATTATCGTTCGTGCGTGCGGGCGTTCTTGCATGTTGCGCGTGGGGCGGCGAAGTGGCGTGCAAGTGTGTCTTGATTGTGCGATTGATAGTCGTGTATGTTCCCAACCGATGACTTGTCGACCCCCGGGACAGATTTGGAATGGGTCCGGCGACACTCCCAACATGTGAATTCAGATTTTCTTTTTTTCCCAAAATGTGAATTCACATTTTCCTTTTTCCCAACATGTGAATTCACATCATGGCCCCGTCATACAGATTCCTACACCAAATGCCAAAATGTGTATTCACATTTTCCTTTTTTTCCAAAATGTGAATTCCCATGTTTCTTTTTCCAAAATGTGAATTCACATTTTGTTTTTCCCCACAGTGTGAACTCACATTTTGCCCTGGCCTTCAAGATCCCCCAAACTGAAGCACAGTGTTCCACATGTCAGATTGGCTGGGCAAATTTTGACACTCACCTCACCGCTTTCGTTTATCCAAACCTTTTTTTGCGCCCTCAGCGCACGCTGCCTTCGTCGCCTTTCCCGAGCCCCCTGCCCCCTTGCTTCGTTTACCCTCCAGTCTCGCGCATGGGTGCAAACGGGGAGCTTCAATTGGTTCCCCGCCGAACGCAGCAATCGAGGATGTATCGCCCATGAGTGGCCCATAAAGCCACACCATTGCCGGGACCCTGCGCCAGACCCCCGTTTTCACCCTCCAAGCCATGCTGCCGCCGTCGCCGCCCAGTCGCCGCCTCGTCGCGCGCGCATGCCGGAACGTATCAAGCAGTCGATTTCGCAACGATTTCAAGATCGACTTTCCGAATCGGGGATGGATAGAACCCCCCTTTAGTAAAAGGTGGTTTAATCAAAACGACCTCGGGCCCAAACCTGGCGGGCGCCAGCCTGGAAAATGACGGCCGCGGTGCCCTCTCCAGACCCCGAGAACGGACAATTCACAAATCGACGTGTCAGGGTGGGGGGTCTGTCCACCCCCGACCGAAGGTATGGCAACAACCAAGGTTTGGGCGTTGTTGTTATCACCAATACGGTTTTCATTATCATATATAATCCGACCACGCGGGCCTGTCTCGCGCGCATCTCGACATCGTTCGAATGCGTTTGCTCGTTTGCTTGGGTGTCCGATCCCTTTCAAATCATACCATGCGGGCCACTCGCGCGCGTCGGCCGCGCGCGCATGTCAAAGTCCTGCACAACTTTCATCGCCGACACGTGGACACCGTACCATCGTCATCGGCGCGACCAGCATCGGCGCCGTCATTGGCCTTGCTTTGATCATCTTCATCATCGTAACTATCATCGATCAGCACCATCATCATTATCACCATAATCATCATGACCATCATCATCGCATCATCATGTGTACCTTCGTCGACGTCGCCATGATATTGCGCCTGCCCGGATCACCGACTCGCATTGAAATGCCCGCCCGACAACGCGGCCCGAGACGCGCGCGGAAGTCCCCACCAGTGAACGCCATCTCGGTCACGTCGGTTGTGTTTAACTAGCTGGCCGCTGTGCGCGTGCGCGCGAGCATGCGTGTGCCAGCGCGGTCGCGGAGATGCGCCAATCAACGTCAACCACCCATCGCAATCGCCGCCGCGTGCACTTTGCAAACCAAGATGCGGGTAGGTGGCTGGAATGATTGCGCGAGTGATGGGATCGATCCCCCACCAGTCGTCGCGCCCCCCCTGGAATAATACGATGTATATAGGATTCTGCCCCATCGCCCATATCAACTATGAACCCAATCCATCCCAACCCAGCCAGCATGACCCCCTCACCCTCGCCAGATATACTACGCGCGCGCAGTCGTTTATAGCAAATCATTCATTTGCACAACAAACTTGCGTTACACTTTGGACAAAATCCGCACGCGCGCAGCGTCGCGCGCGCATGCCGACATGTATCAAAAACCACAGGTTGCACGAGGATTCCAAGACCGAGGCCCCCGAACACGCATGAAGACCACATGGCTGTGCATCTTGATTCCCCCCAACGAAACAAACGCCCGCGCTCTTGCGAAATCTGACCCGAAGCACAAAGACTTCGGCGTGTCCATCAAATGCCGCAAAGCAGGCCCTCGCGCGCGCATGTCGAGATCATTCGTGCGCTTTTGCGCGCGTGCTAAGGGGGGGGAAGGCGGGCGCGACCCCAGACATAGGATACCGCGCGGGCCTCTCGCGCCCGTCGGCCGCGAGCGCGCATGTCGAAGTCAAAAACCTTCATCGCCGACGCGTAGACACCACCATCACCATCACCATCACCAGCATCAGCATCAGCATCAGCATCATCATCATCATCGTCATCATCAGCACCATTATCATCATACTCAGCATAATCATCATCATCATCATCATCATCATCATCATCATCATCATCATCATCATCATCATCATCATCATCATCATCATCATCATCACTATCAGCATCATCATCCTCACCATCGGCGGGATCAGCATCGGCACCGTCGTTGGCCTTGCCGTCGCTGTCGTCGCCAGCAACGCTGCAAGCATCGTCGCGTTTGCCGCTGTCGACGTCGCCATGATGCCGCGCCCGCCCGAGTCACCGACTCGCACTGGAGTGCCTGCGCGTCTGCGCGGCCTGCGAGACGCGCTCGAAAGTCCCCCGCGGTCAACGCCACCGCGGCCGCGTTAATCGCGCCAGACTAGCTGGCCGCTCTGCGCGCGAATCTGCGCGCGCTGGCGCGGCCGCGGCGCGCCAGCCAGCGCCAAGCAGTCATCGCCGTAGCCGCCGCGTGGATTTTGCAGACCAAGTTGCGTGCGGGCGGGTGGGATGATGGCGCGGGCAATGGGGTCAACCACTCACTGCGAGTAAAAACTTGTTTTTTCGGTTTGCTACGCCGCGCCGTCGAACCCTTGGTTCGTTCAGAGGCTCCGGCGCGAGCGCGAAGATTCGCGCGCGGCGAGAAGGGGCGCGCAGAATCGGGCGTTGGTAGAACTGGGTTCAGTGGAACCTGGTTTAGTGATCTGTACCGGGGGCGCCCCCCCGTCCCATTTCCACTAACAGGAACTGCCGTCACTCGAAAAAACACCAGCGATGGCAAACCTGGTTTCGTGATTCTGGCCAATTCGAAGGCTCCGGGGCCCTACCACTAATCGGGTCCCCTCACCTGGGGTCCTGGCCATACCCGACAGAAGTTGCTCGGGCAAGGGGCCATTGGATGCCATCATTGGGCCCTCATCGGTTGTCTCGGGCGCCTCTTAGGTCACCTCAACATCATCCTGGGCCTTTCTGGGGCCGTTTGGGGGGCCTCTCGCCCCTCCTCCTCCTCCTCCTCCTCCTCCTCCTCCTCCTCCTCCTCCTCCTCCTCCTCCTCCTCCTCCTCCTCCTCCTCCTCCTCTCCCTCTCCCTCTCCCTCTCCCTCTCCCTCTCCGTTTTGGGGGGCCTCTCGCGCCTCCTTGGGGCGGTCTCGGGGGCCTCCGGGCTGTCGCGGAGCGCCGGCGGGCCGGGAGAGCGACGAGCGCCCAACGGCCTAACGAACAAAAGCCCAGCCAGAGATCTACGAGGTCTGCCTCTGGGGCGCCCTCCTTTGGGGCTCACCTCGAAGCTCTCTGGGGGTCTCGCGTCCGGTGCTGTCCTCCCGACTTCCCCACCCCTCGGAGCAACCAGGGTCAGTGGGAAACTCTGTCACGAGACGAGCGGGGTTGGAGTGCGCTGGTGAACGCGACCGAGAAGCGCACCCCGACCCGCGCGTCCAGGGTTTGACTTGGACGTGTGCTGCATGCGCCTTGCTCTTCTGCGGCCCATCTCGGGCACACCCCGAGCCGCCTCTCGGGGCCGTCTGGGCCGTCGCGAGGTGCGTTCGAGGCCACTGGCGGCTGCCTCGGGGCTCTCTGGGGCCCCGGCCGCGGACCGGAGCTGCGACGAGATCGGTTGTGTGCGCGCGTAGGTCCTCATGGTAGTAGCACAGCTAGAGAAAGAGAGAAGAGAAGAGAGAAGGAGAGCGAGAGAGAGAAAGAGAAACAACAAAAAACGAGAAACACCTATATATATATATAGAGAGAGAGAGAGAGAGAGAGAGAGAAACAAATAGAGAGAGAGAGAGAGAGAAAAAAAAAAAGGAAAGAGAAGAAAAGATAAGGGTATAGAGAGAGAGGAAACAAAACAGAGAGATAGGGAAAGAGAGAAAGGTGCAGTGACGACGAGGACGACGACGATGACGACGACGACGACTGCGACGACGACGACGACGACGACTGCGGCGGCGGCGGCGAGCATCGCAGAGAAGGGGCTGGGCGGGCGTTGACGACACGGTCGCTCTCTGGGAGGTGTCGTTTGTGGGTGAGCCCGCGGGGGCGGGCGGAGCGTGTGCATGGGGGCGCATTCTTTGACCATGAGCTACCACATTTGAAAGTCTACGGCTATCCCCTCTTCTGCGCCGATAGCCACCTGAGGATCGACGTTATGCAGGCAACTCATGGCAACTCCCACAGCTGTGGAGACATCGCTTCTGGATGGGCAGGTGGTCGCAGCTGCTACTCGCTGCGCTGCTGCCTTTTTTGTCGGCACCGCCATCCTCCAGCTGGCACCGGCGCAAGCCCCCAGAATCCTGGAGATATCGAAGTTGAGAAATTGACGTCGTTCGCAGAGTTCGGCACACGGCGTTTCCGGTGCCTTCGGAGGGCCTCCTCGTCACCGCGGCCGAGCGCACCTGGGGAAACGGGTGCGCTGGGGCCCAAGGAGATGCCCGGGGAAGTGTCCTGATCGGTCTTGGCGGTGGGCGCGTCTCGGATGTAGAGCTGTGACCCTCGACCCTTCGGTGGAACGTCGATCCAGGGGCTCAGCGGGGGGAGCGTGGCTCGCGGCTTCGAGGCGGCAGCTCGGGCCTCCAGGGCCTCCGCGGGGCGTTCCAGGCGCCCCAGGGGGGCGCCCTCGGCAGGGCGCAGCTGCAGGCGGGCACCTCGCCGCGAGGAGCTCTCCAGGAGCTGACGCACCCGCCTCGGACCGCGATCCTCGAACGTACACTCTGGGGTGAAACGTAGAACCGGGGACTCGTCCATTGGTGTCTCATGGGCATGTCCAGGCGGCAGCTCGGGCCTCTCTGGCGGCCGTGCCTTGGCGATCCGGGCGCCGCCATAGCACTGCCGGCGTGGCGCAGCTGCTGGAGGGCATGCCTCGGCGAGCAGGCTCCCAGGAGGCGACGAGACTGCTTCGAGCGGCGATCCTGGAGCCTCGGCCGCGGGGTGAGACATCGAGGTGGGGGCTCATACAGGAATGCGTCGTGGTGGTCATTTGGAGGCGGCAGCTCGGTCCTCTGGAAGCCTTGGGGGCGATGCGGGCACACCGGGAGTGCACTCGGCGAGGCCCAGCTGCTGGCATGCACCCCGCGGAAAACGTATCTCCAAGAGCCGACGAAACCTGGGCTCTGGAGTGAAACACCCAACTGGGGGGCTATCCGGCGGTGCGTCTGGATCGGCGTCGGGACGCGGCATATTGGGCATCCGATTGCCGTATGGATCGGTCTGGGCAGCTCGGAGAGATGCTGAAGGCACTCCACGGCGAGCGTACCTCGAAGAGCCACTCGGTGAACACCGATCCTCGAATCTCGTCCCGTGGGGCCCGTGGGTGTGCGTTTGGATCGCGATCTTCGAGGGACGCGTCGGAATCGGAATGCACAGGCGGATCCAGCCGTTGGCGCGAAAAGGGTTCTCCAGGGCGACAAAGAAGGGAAGCTCACCAAAGCCGACCCTCGTCCTTTTTGTTCCTCCTTCTCCTCGTCCTCCTCCTCCTCCTCCTCCTCCTCCTCCTCCTCATCCTGTGCCTCGTCCTCCTCGAAGTGGGTTTTGTGAGCGGCGATCGCGAGGTCTTTAGGGGGGCGCAACTGGACTCGAAGATACCTGCGGAGGCTCTAAAAAAGGGTGGACAGAATCGAGGAGTGCTCTGGAAGCTTGAGAGGGCCTGCGGGCCTGCGGGCCTGCGGACGTGGAGCACGCGCGCGGAGGCTCTGAGGAGCTCTAGAAGCGTCTCTAGAGGTGCTTCTCGAAGGGTCTCAAGAGAGACTTCTAGGCGGGCCTCCGGGGGGGGCGCACGCAACTCTAGAGAGGGAAAACGCTTGCCTATAGAGGCGGGAGCTTAGAATGTGCCTCTAGAGGATATATTTTCCCAACGTGAATTTTCGAGAGGATTAAATGCACCACGTAGATTGCGCCGCAAAGTTCTCGCCGCATGGATTTGTTCAACAACAAGATCGGGCCCTCCCTGGGATGCTACGATATGCGGGATTATGCCCCATCGCTCGCCTTGAGTATGACTTCATGCCACCCCGACCCAGACAGCCCCCCACTCATCCTCGCCAAATGAACTTATTTGCGCGCACGCATTTATAAAACTATCCCAGTGCGACCCTATCTAGGAGTTGGAGCATCTAGGAAAGCAACATCTACATCTACACCGACAGCTACATTAACATCTACACCTGCATCTACCTACACCTACATCTACATCTACATCTACACTTTCGCATTGGTTTTGTTTATTTGCTTTGCATTGTCTTGCCTTTGATTTGCTTTGCTTTGCTATGCTATGCTATGCTGCGCTATGCTATGCTATGCTATGCTGCGCTATGTTATGCTATGCTATGCGACGCTATGCTATGATATGCTATGATATGTTATGCTGCGCTGTGCTATGCTAAGCTAAGCTATGCTATGCTATGTTATGCTATGATGCGCAACGCTATGCTATGCTATGCTGCGCTATGCTATGCTGCGCTCTGCTATGCTGCGCTCTGCTATGATACGTATGCTATGCTATGATATGCTATGCTATGCTAATGCTGCGCTGCGCTGCGCTAAGCTGCGCTGCGCTAAGCTAAACTAAGTTAAGCTAAGCTAAGCTAGGCTAGGCTAGGCTAAGCCAAGCTAAGCTACAGCTACGCGAAGCTGAGATGAAGCTAAGCTAAGCTAAGATGAGAAAAGCAACGCTAAGCTAAGGGAACGTAACTGGGGGAACCGCGGGGCGGATACAGGGAGAACCGCCCGGGGCGATTTCCACTGCCCGGCCCCTTTAAGAAAGAGAGTAAGAACCCTCTAGGCAAGTCTACGAAAGGGAAAAAACGAAAGTTTTCAAAAACCACTTGCAACACATGAAACAATGTCCACGCGCGCGTCGTCGCGCGCGCATGCCGCAATTCTTCAAAACCCTGGGTTTGGTCAATATTTCAAGATCGACGTTCCCGAAGACAAATGAAACCCAAATGGTTGTGCATCATAGTTCCCCAAGAGCGCGCGCTCTAGCGAGTTTGTGCGACAACCGCGGGATTCAAACATTTTTAAGCAATGCTACCAAGAGAGCCTTTCGCGCGCGCCTTTCGAGATCATTGAAACGCTATTGTGCGTCTGCTGGGGGGCGCGAGTCCCATGCGAAAAATTAACAAAGTCCGCGCGCGAGGCGTCGCGCACGCATGCCGAATTCGGACGTGCAATTTGCATGTGATTCTGCTCCAATTTAAATGTGAATCTGCCCCGCAGTCTGGGCGCCAACGGGCAAGTGTCCGACCCTCTGGCGCCCTCCCTCCCTCTCTGGGGCCCCCAAGTATTCAGTTTCTTCGTGGCGGCCCTGGAAAAAAAAAACGCCCACCTCAAAAAGCCAGCCCAGCGTCTCGCGTGAGATGTCATCCCTGAATGCTAGGCGCCAACGGGCAAGTGTCCTAACCCATAGTCGCTCCCCCTTGTAGCGCCCGAGGGCTACGGTTGCGACATCGCGAACACCACGCGGCCCTGAAAAAGACGCGCCTACATCCGTAAAATAAGCGAACCGCTGGAGACAAACATCCCGACAATCTGGCCACGAACCGGTAAGTGACGTATCCCCTGACGGCACCCCCTTATGTTGCCCAAGTTCTGTGCCTGTCGCATCGCGATGACTCTGATCGTGAGATGGAGAAGGAGGGAAGCAAAGGGAGTGAGTAGACAGAGGCACGACACGGGTAGCAATAATTCACGACGTAGAAAATGCGTAGAAAATGGGAATAAGCTCCGCAACATTCTCCACGATATGTGCAACTACCTGCAACATGATTCATTATGACCGTCGGACCCTCGCACCGCACGCGTTCGAAGGAAACTGGCGGCAATCAAACTTGCCCAATCTGCTGGTACATCGTTTCGATTTTAACTTTCGTCGAACGTGCGTTTGATTCGCCCACGTCGTCCAGCCCCCCATCTGAACCAAACAACGCCGGTTTCTGATGAGACATCCTCACGATTCGCTCTTAAACTGGCCACGACGTGCAGGTGACGCTGTCGGTGTGCTGCCCGCGCCGAGGCGAGAACGCCAGTTGGACGGACGTTCGGCCATTGTACGGAAGTTCGGCCCGCATAGTGCGAATTCATACCTGCCCAGCCAACCCACCAACGACCCCCCCTCTTATCCTCGTCATTAAAACTATGTGCGCGCACTCGTTTACCACAAATCTTCAGTTTGCAAAGTCCCCTGAGACGCGTGACAAGACGCACGCGCGCGCGTCGTCGCGCGCGCGCGCCGGAATCCATCAAAAACCTACAGTTCGCGAAGATTTCAAGATCAAGCGCACTGAACACATAAAACAACGCATGGTTTACCAACGTGAACGATCCAAAACCGTTTGCGCGCGGTCTTGCGAATTCAGATAAAACGCATATGCTTCACCATGTTCACCAGATGCGGCCGAACGGGCCTCGCCCGCGCATGTCGAAACCATTCGAACACCCATGCGCGCGCTGGGGGGGGCGCGATCCCCATCGGAAAAACCGTGCGAACCACTCGCGCCCGCCGGCCGCGCGCACCGCCCGTCGGCCGCTCGCGCCCGGCGACATCCATCGAACACCTGCATCGCCGTCGCGTGGGCGCCATCATCGTCACCTACATCGTTGCTGTTATCGTCGCGTCTGCAATTGGCGACGTCGCCATGAAACCGCACCCGCTCGAGTCACCGACTCGCAGTGAAATGCCCGCGCGTCAGCGCGGCCTGCGAAACGCGCTGGGAAGTTCCCAGGCGGTCAGCGCCACCGCGGCCGCGTCGGTCGCGCCAGACTAACGGCCGCTCTGCGCGCGAGCCTGCGCGCGCTAGCGCGGCCGCAGCGACGCGCCAGCCAGCGCTCAACAATCATCTCGATCGCCGCCGCAAGGGCTTTGCGAACCAAGTGGCGGGCGGGCGGGCGGGGCAATTGCGCGAACGGTGGAACTGACGTCTCACTGCGAACAAGAATCAATTCCCAACTCATACAAAATATTCGGGCCCCCCGCCTCCTGGAAAGCCCCTTCCCTTTCCCTTCCCCGACGGGGGGGGGAGGGGGGGTCCCGGGGGGGGTCCCGGGGGAGTCCCGGGTCAGATACGACGGCCCCCCCGTACCGACCTTGAGCAACGTCGTAATTGAGTCGAAGGGAAGCCCCTTCCCTTTCCCTTCCCCGACGGGGGGGGGAGGGGGGGTCCCGGGGGGGGTCCCGGGTCAGATACGACGGCCCCCCCCGTACCGACCTTGAGCAACGTCGTAATTGAGTCGAAGGGAAGCCCCTTCCCTTTCCCTTCCCCGACGGGGGGGGGAGGGGGGGTCCCGGGGGGGGTCCCGGGGGAGTCCCGGGGAAGTCCCGGGTCAGATACGACACCTCCCTCCCCCACCTTCTCGTCCTTCTCCCCGTTCCCCAAAACCATCCCACAGCCCGTGCCTCTTGCTGCGCATTGCGAACAGGGTCGGCGGCACCGGCCGTAAGGCCTTCGCAATATTCGGGCCCCCCGCCTCCTGGAATTAGCGGGGCCCCTCCGCGCGATGCAAGTTGCGTGCGATTCTGCCGCGTCGCCCATTCGAATTATGACTTCATGCCATCTCAAGCAGGCCGGCATCGCCCCCCCACCCCCCCGACCCTCATCCTACGCAGAAAACTACTACGCGCGCGCGTTCGCCTTTCAAAAACCATCTGTATTCAAGAATCCCTTTCCGACAATTGAGACCAAATGCACGCGCGCGCGTCGTCACGTGCGCATGCCGAAATCTCTCGGAAATCCTAGAAAGGTTCCCGCAGGAATGTAAAACATCGAACGCCCCGACAACGCATAAAGACAAATGGTTTCGCAACGGATTTGTTCAAAACAGGCCTGCGCTCGAACACCTGCTGATTCTTGAAGCAACCAGCGGCTGAAACACGTGCATCGCATGCTGCCAACCGTCCTCTCGCGCGCGCACGTCGACAACGCTCGAGCGCCCTCGCGCGCGCTTTCGCAATAATGCAGCGTGCGTCGTCGCGCGTGCGCCGACGCCCTTCGACAACTGTCGGCGCCGCGGGGATTTCAAAATCGAGCGCCCCGAAAATATACGAGAAACGCCGTTTTGCAATGTCAATTTTCAAAACAAAAAAAAGCCTGCACGCGCGCTCTTGCGAATTCAGAAGAAAACGACACGTTTCCCAAAGCGTTAAATTCACCCAAACGGGTCTGTCGCGCGGCATGTCGTCATCGTGGGGACGCCCTCCTGCGTTTTTTGGGGAGGGCGCGATCCGCGTCAAATAATACCACGCGGGTCGTTTTTGCGCGTCGGCGGCGCGCGCATGTCGGACTCATTCCAAAACCTCCATCGCCGATGGGAGGACGCCGTCATCGTCGCCGGCGCGATCAGCATCGGCGCCGCCGCTGGCCCGGTCGTCGTTGTTGCCGCCGTCGTCGCCACCGTCGTCGCTATCATCGCCGCGTCTACCGTTGCCAACGTCACCGTGATGCCGCGCCAGCCCAAGTCGCCGACTCGCACTGAAGTGCCCGCTGGGAGGCGCCCAGCGGACAGCGCCACCGAGGTCGCGTCGGTCGAGCCAAACGAGCTGGCCGCCGCGCGCGCGAGCACGCGAGGACAAGCGCGGCCGCAGAGGTGCACCAGCCAACGCCAATCGCCCATCGGAATCACCGCCGCATGGGCACATGCAAACCAAGTTGCGGGGTGGGTGGATTGGTGGGAAGATTGCGCGAGCAGTGGTGTTGGCAACTTCGCCTTCGGCAGGATACATTGCGCGACGTACGTTCTCCTTTTTTACAAGAATCATAGGATGTCCCCTCCTTCCCCTCGGAATTAACGGCTCCACTTTTCGCGTTGCCATTTATTTTTGCTTCTGCCCCATCGACCATTCTGGGCATGAGCTCGCGCCACCCCGGGCAGGTCGGCATCGGCGCCCACCCTCATCCTCAGCATAAAAAATTACGCGCGCGCAATCGTTCATCGCAAACCGTCAGTTTTCAAAGAACCATTGCAACAAATTGTACGAAGTGCGCGCGCGCGTCGTCGCGCCCGCGTGCGAAAATCATTCAAAAACCTGTTGTTCCGCAAAGATTGACAATCTAGTGCCTCGAAAACAAATAAAACACATCGTTTCGCAACAGTGACGTTCATCAAAACAGTGCGCTCGCTCTCCTGCGGTTTTTTGATGGAGCAAAGAGCTGATTTCCCAAAAATGTCCATAACATGCCACCAAACGGAGCTCTCGCGCGCGCATGTCGAAATCGTTCGAACGCCCCTGCGCGGGTGCTGCCGCAAGAACCCCTTGCAACAACTGGGGCGAACTGCACGCGCGCGCGTCGTCGCGCGCGCATGCCGTAATGTTTCAAAAACCTTCGGTGTCGTAAGGATTGCAAAACCGAGTGCCCAGAACACATCTAAGAACACATGGTTGTGCAACACCATATTCAAACAAAAAAATTGCGCTCGCGCTTTTGTGAACTGCGCGGAAAACCATGACTCTCCAACGGACATTGTATTCGGCAAAACCGGCCCCTCGCGCCGCAATTATTCGAACGCCTTTGCGCGCGTATTGGGGCAAGGGCACGATCCGTGCCAAC